AGAAGGTGCTATTTAAGAGACTGAGCTGAATACAGCACCTCAGACTGAGGAAGTCTTTCGGATGAAAGACAGAACGTATCTACATTTTTTTGCTTTGTTTTGTTTTTTTGATTGTCCAGAGGACCAGATTGAACTTTTTTGGATTTTTCTACCTGGATTATTGAATATGCATCAGGATATACACAAGGAATCACACAAGATATAAAAATACCAGGTATTAAGTTCTAAAACAGATCAAGTGCAGACAGAAATATTAAAGTGTTGATTGTGGTGCAGGATTACTTTTATTACCCTATGTGCAGAAAGGGGGAGGAGTTGAAAAGTTTGATAGCCACAGGGAGGAAGGACTTCCTGTGTTGTTCTGCGAAGCACCTCGGTGGTCTCAGTCTACAACTGAAGGTGCTGCAGTAAGAGTCCAGGGTGTCATGCAGGGGGTGTAACGTGTTGTTCAGGATCTGGAGCAGTTTTCTCAGCATCTTCTGATCAGACACCTCTGTCAGAGACTGTAGGTCCACTCCCAGAACTGAGCCAGCTCTCTTGATGAGCTTATCAAGTTGTATCAAGTATCAAGATGTACAGAGTTGTAGCAACTACAGGGGAATTAAGTTGATGAGCCACACGATGAAGATCTGGGAGAGAGTTGTGGAAGCAACAAGACTTAGACGAGAAGTGACTATTTGTGAGCAGCTGTATGGTTTCATGCCAAGAAAGAGCACCACAGATGCCATCTTTGCTTTGAGGATGCTGATGGAGAAGTACAGAGAAGGCCATAAAGAACTTCATTGTGTCTTTGTGGATTTAGAAAAAGCATATGACAGAGTGCCAAGGGAGGAGATGTGGTATTGCATGAGGAAATCTGGAGTGGCAGAAAAGTATGTTACACTGGTACAGGACATGTATGAGGACAGCAGGACATGTATGAGGACAGCAGGACATGTATGAGGACAGCAGGACAGTGGTGAGATGTGCTGTAGAAGTGACAGATAGCTTCAAGGTGGAGGTGGAAGTGCATCAAGGATCGGCTCTGAGCCCCTTCTTGTTTGTTCTGGTGATGGACGGTCTAACAGATGAAGTCAGACAGGAATCCCTGTGGACTATGATGTTTGCACAACATTGTGATCTGTGGTGAGAACAGGGAACATGTGGAAGAGAAACTGGAGAGGTGGACGTATGCACTTGAAAGAAGAGGAAAGAAAGGCAGTAAGACAGAGTACATGTGTGTGAATGAGAGGGAGGCCATTGGAACAGTGAGGCTACAAGGAGCAGAGGTCACAAAGGTGCAGGACTTCAAGTAGTTTGGGTTCACTGTCCAGGAAAATGGGGAATATGGTAAAGAGGCAAAAAAGAGAGTCCAGGCAGGATGGAGTGGATGGAGAAAAGTTTCAGGAGTTATTTGTGACAAAAGTGTATCAGCAAAGGTCAAAGGAAAGGTTTATAGGACAGTGGTGAGACCAGCTATTTTGTATGGTCTGGAGACAGAGACATGGACAAAAAGACAAGAGAAAGAACAGGAAGTGGCAGAAATTAAGATGCTAAGGTTCTCCTTAGGAGTGACAAGGATGGATAAGACTAGGAATAAGATCATCAGAGGAACAGCACATGTTGAACAACTTGGGAGATAAAGTTAGAGAGACCAGACTGAGATGGTTTGGTCATGTCCAGAGGAGGAACAGTGGGTGTACTGGTAGAAGGATGTTAGAAATGCAGCTGCCATGAAAAAGACAAAGAGGAAGGTCAAATGGAAGATACAGTATATGATGCGATTAGAGAGGGCATGGAGGTAGTTGGAGTGAGGACAGAGGATGCAGAGAACAGAGTGAGATGGAAGAAGATGATCGCTGTGGTGACCCCTGAAGAGGGAGAAGCCAAAAGAAGTAGTTTTGAATACGAGCTCATAAAAAAAAGATTATTATTAAATTCTAATAAAACTGCTCACACAACCATATTTTGTTGCCAGAAAACAAAAAAAGATTGATAAACTTTCAGTTTTCATCACAGTCAATTTCAAAATACAACATTATTGTTTAAATAAATAAAATCCTGATCTTACTTAAGGATGTCATCTGATTAAACCTCGACTCATGTAACACCTGTTATTTTAGCAGTTGCTGAACAAAAAGGAAAAGTTAGAACCTAACCAGAATGGTGACCATAAATTCTTTACCTGATGTCCAATCTGGTTGTGCTATTCTGGCTGCTCACTATGAGGCAAGCCCAGAAGTCTGTGCGAGCCGACGGGTCAGAACAGCTCACCTGTATCCCTGGTCTATACCAGTCTCCACCAAATCTATGCCTTCCTACTGAAACTAGCAGATCTTCAATCACACACTGCAACTAAAACAATAAGCCATTGTGCTCTGTTGGTCCCTGATAACGTTGTCACGTCATACATGGCAATCTTAAACTTAATCTGGTAATAAAACTTGCAAATTAACACAAAAAGTTGCAGCACATCTACATAAACACAGTATGAACAGAAAAACTCATGTGACCATCAGAGTCCTCTACAGCTCATGGTTTAAGAATTACTAAGATCTTGTACTTTTTGCATGACTGTTTGAGACTTTCTTTTCAGTATGTTTTGTCTGCCTCTCTTTAACTAGGAAGTCAGGGAGTGACAAGACACAGGTGTGTGTGGTTACCATGGTGACTATAATGAGCCACTGGCAGTATAACATTTGTTTTGATCTTTGTTTACTTTACATGTCTTCTAAAGTTCATACATCAAAATACTTGATCACTTTATTCTCAACTTTGGTATTTTGGGGCTGTAGCTGCATGAGCATCCTTCAAAAATCTTCTCATTTATGCTAATACTTTTAAGATTTGCATTTTTTTTTTTTGGTAACAACAAATCTTAAAACTTTTTTTTAAATAAAACTTTAAAAATAGCATAATGTGCTTGAGCTTTCCTGTATGCAGTCATCTCTAAAACATATAATTGAACAAAATAAATAATTAAACACAAGATCAATCTGTCAGAGGTGAGTGGTTCCTTACTGAGGGTGTGTTTTATAAAGGGTGCCGTCCACTCCCACGGTGATGGAGAGCTGGTTTAGGTTGCGGTTCTGGCGTATTCGGTCAACAACAGCAGCTAACCCGGCACCGCAGAGTTGAGCTGCACGGCGAGCGACAACGCTGCACACCTCCTTCACCAGAAAGCTGTCGTCACACGTGGAGCCGGTGAGACCCAGGTGCTGCAGGATGGAGCGGACCTGACGCATGGCCAGGCGGTCACTTCAGGAGCAGAGATGATCATAATGTTACATCGTTTACGTTTGACTCTAATTTCAAGACAATTTCTATCTACAGCCTCAGACAAAAATGTATTCAATCAGTACTTTTGACAAAAATCACTGGATTGTATGGAAGAAAACGTGAAACAAATCTAATTTAATTAAACAAACCTTCGTAAAGTAAATAAAACTGTATTTTATTCAAAATATCAGAGAAAATAAGGCAATCTTGTCATTTGAAGTTTCATAAGAACCCCCTGAAGAAATATTAATATGCAAATGAGAAGTGTTTGCAGACCTTAACAAGCCATCGCCACCAACTGACTGAAAGCTAAACAGATCTGAACAATAGAACTGAAATAGAAATAGAACTGTGAAATGAAACGATCAGAAAACTCTTAAAGAGGTCATTTATCACCCATTGCAGAAAAAACAGACAGGTTGTACCCAGTTGGCTCTAAAATCAGAGGCAAGTATAAACATAGAAGAAAAGGTCGTGGAAAGGAAACTTGCAAGAAAATAATGTAGGAGGTAAAAAAAAAAATTTGCATTAGTACATGATTATGATTATGATTATATATATACAAACCGGATTCCAAAAAAGTTGGGACACTAAACAAATTTGAATAAAAACTGAATGCAATGATGTGGAGGTGCCAACTTCTAATATTTTATTCAGAATAGAACACAAATCACAGATCAAAAGTTTAAACTGAGAGAATGTATCATTTTAAGGGAAAAATCTGTTGTTTCCAAATTTCATGGCGTCAACAAATCCCCCAAAAGTTGGGACAAGTCCATTTTGACCACTGTGTGGCATCCCCCCTTCTTCTTACAACACTCAACAGACGTCTGGGGACAGAGGAGACCAATTTCTCAAGTTTAGAAATAGGAATGCTCTCCCATTCATGTCTAATAC